AATTTAATCTGAATAAAGATTTAGTATTTAAAATAATAATTATATATGAAATGAAGTTACTCTTTAAACACTCCTATAAGCAAGAGAGAGAGAGAGAGAGCAAAAGTAGTCTTTAATTCTCTAAATAATTGCTTTTTACTGATAAAAGGGGGGCATTTTCTTGCTTTTTTTAGGCTAAATTCTTCCACTTTTTCTCACTTATTTCCTGAATTATCAGGATAAAATTTATAAAAAAATGAAAGAAAATACCATTAATTTTAAAGAAAATCTAAATAAGTTTAATTTACCTACTATTTGAACTAAGAAAAAGATAGCAAGTTTATTTTTGATGAGTTGATTGTCGATTAATGGAGTAAAAGGAGGACAGGCATTTAAGAATTGCCTTGCTCGTGAATCAGAGGATACTACTTCCTATGACTTATTGTTAAAACATCCTTTCGATTTCACTTCTGGAAAGGACACTGCTTGCTGTACACCTACTAATTGTTATAGTAATGTTGGGGATTGCCCTGATAATTGGATCGAAATTTTTTCTTGCGTTAAATTTTCTCAGGGAACATATTGTAGAGCTACATTCTTTTGTGGCGGTATGATAGGAGATATGTTGATTACTAATGATGCTATTAAAACTATTCATGGTATTTGTCCTAATAGCACTACTGAAGTTGCTAACTACATATCAAGTATTACCCCTATTGGTATAAATGGAGGATATGCTTATTGAGAGTGTTCAAATAGTACCACTTGTGCAGATTCAACCTGCGACTGAGATAATGGTGGATGAACATGTTTTCCTTGGGTTTCTACCAACAATTGTATCTTGCAATGACCTGCTCCTTTTCCTACTACTGTTGTTTCCTCTAGTCAAACTCCAACCACCTTTATTAGTTCTAGTTCAACTGTTATTGCTAGTTCCTCAGTAGATTCCATCTCTACTTCTTCAACTTTTATTTTACCTCCTTCTGATTCTCCTTTGATTAATTCTGATAATCAAAATGACCATCAAACCGAAAAAATTGCTATTCCAGTAGGAGCAGTGGTAGGGGTTGCTACAGTTGGAGGAATATCCTACCTAATCTATAAAAAAAGAAAGAAAAAAAATGATCGTCTTTCTAACGAACACACAAACATTGACCTAGTAGAAATAGACAATCGTGAATCAGAGGCCAATGAAGTTGTTGATAATAATTTTGAGGAAAATCTTGATAAACAACAAGAATTTGAACAACTTATCAGACAGACCAAGCATAAAATAGGTAGAAAGTTAGAGGTGCCTTTAGAAACTTTACTCGATGCCCAAACGGAAATTGCTAAGGGTAATAATAATTTTACTATTAGACAGTTACAACGAGAAGCTAAAGAAAAGTTATTGACTAAACTAAGTGGTGAAGAAATTAATAGTCTTTGTCAATTGCAAAGTGAAATAGTTCAGCAAGAACAATCTTCTACCCAAGCCCAAATCCAAATCTCCCCTAAATAATATGCCTTATGAACCAAGAATTAACAAAAAAAAAAAAATTAATCTAATTTGAATAATCCTAACAATAGTTCTAGTTGCTGGATTAGGAATTGGAATTTATTTCTTTACTAGAAGTAATAATTCCTCTGATAATCCTAACATTCAATATCTCCCTAGTGAAGAAGAAGCTCAAACTAAAATTAACCAAATTAAATCTTCCAAGGAAATAGATGATCAGCAAGCCACTATTGAATTCTTAAGTGCTTATGTTCCAGAAATTAAATGGTGAGAAATTAATTCTTTATCTGAATTGGATGAAAAGATAAAATTAATAAGCAGTAGGACAGGTTTTCCACCATTTTCTTCTGTCCCTCCCGTGGACAAGTTTAACAAAGAATTTGCCGGCAATGTCCAAAAAAAATCCTTAATATTTTTGGCTTCTATTATTCCTAGAAAAGCTGATAACACTCCCGACTGAAGAGGGATAAAAGACTTTCAGAATTATATGTTAACGATTATGGAACCCATATTATTGGAGCAAGCCAAGTTTAAACCTTCCTTTGCTACTCAGGAAAATTATCAAGAATTAGGGACAAGGATAAATCAAGAAATAAACCCTGCTTTATCCTCTATTTGCTCCCGCTTTGCTTCTCTTACTTCGGTTGATAATCTTAATCAACTAGTCAATGAATATTTAAGTAAGATTTTTCAAGGTCATATTTATGCTGAGGCTATTCATGATGAGTTAGGACAACAATTAGGAATTACTAATCATCAGAAATTTGAATTAAAAAAAACTGGCAACAGTTCTGCCAATTATGGATGGAGTATTGCTTTAAATGAATTTGCTTTTAAGGGTGTTTCAGAGCCTAATCCTGATCCTCCACAAGAGGACTTTACTAATT